CTTGAAGGCTTCTCATCTCAGCCTCCCAGGCGCGCTCAATCCGGCGCTCTGTTTGGTTCCGCCGCTTACTAACCGTATGTAGAGCATGCAAGGACGGTTTGATTCTGCAAGATGACACTACAGAGACATAACCGCTTGTTTGAGCAGCGTCTTTCGAGCTGTGTTCTGCTTTTCATGTGTATTCAACCAAAAGGTATCGGCCGGCTCGGGTATGAATTAGCTGTTCATAGCACAAATTAATTAAATGAATTAATATCTTTGGATGCCTCTCAACATGCTTAAGCTAGATGGATGAAGGATCACATATATATTGGAGACACTGATTGGACATTTGTATATGCTTGTATAGAGTTAGAATATGCAGAAAGACCAGCTCACTTCCCACACGCTAGCGTATGCAAAGGTGTAACGATATTTGGCATCCAAGTGCACGTTTTACTGCAATAGATCGACATCGTTAGTGGCAAGGCCAGGACAAGCAGATGTCTGGGCGAAATTCTCGAGCCTATCACATGGATGTCTGCCCGCAGGTGCTATGTATATAAGGAGTGCAATAGGAATACCAGAGAACTCCATTTCATCGCCACTGCGAGTCACGAAGAAATCAAGAATGTGTGAACTGTATCGGTGAGTACTATCGCCAGGCCACTCGACGCTGTACAATGCGGGATTCAAGCCCTGTTAACGAGACGTCTGTTGGTTTCTCACTGTCTCATGTGCGCATTCCCTGTAATGCATACAGCCTCGGCTAATAATGTGCTCTCCCAGCTGTAACAGAATTACAATCAGGGTGCGCGCAGAAGACAGTCCTGGTGATCTTCAGCTAATCTTAGCCCCCCACAGCGCGAGATCATGGTACGCTCTCACGGATCGCTAAGCGCCTTAACCTTCGCATTGACCAATAGCAGGAGCGCCGAGATTGCATGAGAGTTTGCATTTACAAGCTGTGCAACACGGGCGATAGCTCCGAGGAACTGATACCCTGCCGGGTGACAGGTGCGCAGAACCCTGACATTTTCGATATGACGCTTACCAAACTACCTCAGTAAAGCACGTAAGAGTGACATGCGTAGAGTGCACATAGTTCCGGATCTGCAAGACGCGGATGTGGAAGACCGTGTAGTTGGGTTATTCATTGGTGTAAATTTAGAACTTCTGTCTTCAAGCAGTGTGTATTCCATCAGGTGCTGAACGTGAGAGTTACCTCTCGTATCACCAGCCTGACATTGCGATCACTGGGCCATTCGAACTTCACAAGCTCGAGCGTAGCCGCAATGGTCATGACGCCTATAGAAAGGCATGAGTATGGACAGATTTTCGTGAAGTACCTCATAACGTACCGTCTTCCCCTATATGCACCGGATAGCTCTTGTACGGTTCAGAACCGCCGTGCCCCTGCCTCGGCGGCGCGCCAGGGAGGAAGAAGCTCGTGAAGCTTGTGCCGACCTTCCACACCAGCAAATTGCAATCCTCGAGGGACAGTGTCACGAGCCGGCGCCCGTCCGGCGAGAAGCTACATGCCGTCGCTCGCTTCTTGTGGCCCTCGAGGACGTACAGCCGCGTCGCGGTCTTTAGGTCGTACATCACGACAGCGCCTTCGCTGGTACCGACGGCCAGCCTCTGCGAAGGGCCGTGGAAGTCGACCGTCGGATAGCTGCAAACGTCACGTCAGAGCCGCGCGAGTGGCGGAGATAGTCTTTGACCGACCTGTCCACAATGTGCCCCAGGATCTCTGTCGCAGAGTCCAATACCACATCGCGGTCTGCCGTCGAGTTGGGATCGAGGGACTTGACCACAGCTTCCACTAGTCTCGGAAGGTTGCTGTACAGAACAAGCGGTTTCTACGAGACATCAGCATCTCCACACCGCTGAAACTCTGGAATAGGCGCACCTTGCGGATAAGGAAAATAACCAGCTGCATGACTGACTTGCGGTGCTGTACACTCTTCGGATGCAAGATGTCCATAGACACCGTTGTCATAAATAGCGGGCTGTTCCCAGAGGCGATATTAAGCACCGCACTCCTCGCATGTTGACCGACGCCAGGCTGGATCGCAGAGCTGTCCTTTCGGCTTGCAGTTGCGAGTCCGAATAAGGCACGCAGCATCTCTACTGCGTCCACATACTGCTGCCAGACAGGGAAGCCGCGTGAACAGAGGTCGATCGCCAGGATCCTGTAGGGACAATGCTCGTCGTGGAGATACATGGCGATGGATTTCGCAATGTCGGTCAACGAGCTGTAGAACTTCAATGTGCATCGTACACATCACCAAGAAAAATTGACTTACGTCGTGGGAAGCAGGCTGTATTTCTCAATGGCGACATTTCCGCAGATAAACAGTGCCTGAGCGCTCCGCGTAGAATCTTTCAAAGAATCTGACTGCAGCGACGGTACTGAGGAAAACAGTAAACATGTGTGCATATACACTGAAGAAATCTTGATACTTACGGCATCGCTGCCAGCCGTCGACGACCTCCAGAATCTCCTCGTCGAGCAAGCGCGCGATACCAACGTCGAAACGGAGCCATGCTGAGTTGCGCATTTCTACGGCTACATTACAGTAGCGTTAGCATCAGATGAATCGCGAAGGAAAGAACTTTACCTGACGAATGCAACCAAGTACGGGCCAGCCAGGCAAGGTTCGGAGCTTTGTATGGAGAATTGATCACATGAGCCAGAGAAGCAGCATAGAACGCAGAGACTGTATGTGCGTCGTCTGGAACAAAATACCATAAGCGCCGGATACTAAGGCAGTCGGATAGACAACAAACCGAATTGCTGAGACAGCACATTGAGCACCGTCATGATGCTGGTCGCACGTGTCGCTGAGACGAGGGAAGAGACCGCCCAGGCAGCCTGCTGCGCGTTCCCAGTAAACACCGTAGCTGAGCCATGTCTAGTACACGGCTTATCAATATCTTGGAAGTATTATGCCGCGCCTACTCACCGAGAAACTCCTACCCCACCAGTTGAAGGACGGACCCCGAGGCTCTCACGACATACCCGGTCAATCTCGTCGTTCACGCCAAAAGTAAGAAGCATCGACAGCAAGGCAGTCAAATTCCGCTCCTTCAACGTTGCTGCAGCGCTCGAACCAGCTTCTCCTGCTTTGACAATGCTGGCCGCCGCCACATGAGACAGGAAGGCTTCCACGTCAAGGACCAGAGTCGCGCCTACTTACCTAGATAAGCGACGTCATCTCAGGAAATCGAAATCTGCTCACCAGCGTCAGGTAGCTGATCATATCCTGGCAAAGCATAGAAACCCTTTGGTCCGCCATGCGACTCAATCGGGATGGGCCTACATGAGAAACGTCAGAACGGCTCTCAGCCCATAGACCGAATGACGCACCATTCTGTCCATCCACCCTGTTTCAACATGTCGTCCGTCTTGTCTGCGCCCATGGAACGCCAGAACTCCCTGGTCCTCGTGTCCCACAAGCGAGCCCTGTTATCGCCGTAATTCAGCAACAAATTGTCTTCTCCGAGGCAGATCCTGCATAGCGGCGCCACCGAGGCGGGCACCAAGAACAGACTATGGCATGACATGAGTTGAGGTCGGCGCCCTAGAGTCTCGAGCCACTCACAGCTGATACCCATCCAGCGCGATCACCGCAATGGTCCCGTCCCGAGAGACGCAAAAGACACAATCTTTGAGCCGGCCACTCGCGACGTGGATCGCCTCTGCAAGCGGCTCTGTGAAGATCGTCCAGCGCGCGAGCAGCTTCAAAATGCTGCAGGCTCCAGGATCAGGTCTGCGTCGTGCATAACCGATTGTATGCGCACCTCCGGGCCCAGATGGCGACCGAACCGTCGTCGCAGCCACCGATGATCAAGTTCTCGCCCGATCGGTCGTTCCGTGTTGTGTATAGGCTGCAGATGCGTCCAGCCAGAGGGACGTCCGAGACTAAGCTGGCTTGGTCGCGGGTGGAACCGCGAGCGAGCTGGCTGAAAGAGCAGCATGACACGTAGCCGTCGCCTGGTGAACAGAAACATACTTAGTGGAAAGACACAGTCAAGCCAAGTGGCGGGCTCACTGTGGCCGAGGATGACCTCGTCGAGCTCCAAAGGAAGGATGGCTGTGATCCTTGGCCTCGCTAGTGTCTTCTCAACAACGTCTCTACGGGGCTTCCACACCACTCTTGTGGATATGTCTGAAGGACCCGCGAACGCAGAGAGTGAAGTAGCTTGCAGGCGCAGTCGCCCGTTCTTGGTTCGAGCAGCCACGACATCTCCAGAAGCCGTCAGAACGCAAAGATCGACAGGCGAGAATGGTACTGAGCGGCGTATCTGGAAGCTGGGGGGAAGTTTAGAGATAGCGTGGGGGGTAACGCTGGAGGTCCATACTCTAGCATTTTGGTCCCAGAAGCGCGCTGTTCACTGACAGCGTCATTGTTCGCGTCCACCTCGACCAGATCTCGGATCTCTGCATGATCCTGAATCTTCCAGTGAGATCGCGTATGCAGTTCTCCGAAACGACCATCTCACCTTGAAAGCGATCGTCAACGAATCCCTGTCAGACCACCGGACGTCGCATACGCCCTGCACAGAAGCCGTGCCGAGCTCCGCAACAGCCGACCCAGCGATGTCAAAAACCTAGAAACAAGACGCCTGAGAAACGAGCCAGTTATGACAGGCCGAAAGGGGCGCGTACAGCCAGCTTATCACTTGACCACGACAGCGCCAACGACAGCGTGTCCGAATTGAGGACACGGAACGCCGCCAGGGGCGCGCTGAGAAGCCCGAGATCGACGGTGTTCGTCAGGACAATCCGGCCGCCGTCGTCGTCCTTGGCGTCTTGAGCGAGGCTGTCCGACGAACGCAGGCCCTTCAAGTTCAAGGCGGCTTTGAAGGGATTGGGCAGCGGTAGATGCGTGCTCGAACCCGACTGCTCGAGGTCCGCGTCCGGGCTTGGGGGGCCGTCGACAAGAATTAGTTTCTGGCGGATGAGATGGTACGAGGAGTTGGCGTGGAGGAGCGTGATCTGTCCTGGACCCGTCTCGTCGCAATTTTCAAAGGCGATGAGTTGAACGAACTTACCGTCCGCGGCTGTATGCAGAGCAATGCTCCCTGCAGGACCGTCGATGGCCCAGTCGCCAACCTTTGTCAGTGTGGCAGAGTCCGGATCATCTTCGCGCTCAACTTGCAGCTCGAAGGCGACAATCCGCGATTCTTCAGACCTCTCACCGCTCTCCAGGTCGTGCGGCTGGATCGTGGAGGTGGTCGCCTCTGAGCTTGCACAAGCCAGTATCAGGTTAGACTGAATCGACTATGTCAGAAGTGTCTGGCACACTTCAAAGTAGCTGCTCACCTGGTTCAAAGGTGCGACGTGCAGATATTTCCAGTGCCATATTACTGGCAACTGGGCGCGTGTTCCACCACCCGGAGGCGGGGTGAGAGGATTGATTTGCGCCGAGCTTGTGGCAACACAGCTGCCATCTTCTGTAGCGTATACACTCAACACTCTGCGGAACATCTGTCGTTACTTTCCAGTTTGCACATTGATGTTTACGATACATACCCTGACTGAAAGAGTGCCACGGTCAGCCGGCTACTGGGCACAACTTTCAAAGCGGTGACTGGGCTGGGCTGGCCGTTACATGTGGGGATAGAATGGCTCACGAGCGACCAGTTCGTGAGCTCAGAAGCATTGGTCACATGAAAAGTGTAGGGAATAGATGGGGTAGAGGGGATGGAAGGAGATCCCCCGGACGAGCTAGAAGACCTTGGTGTCACAAATTCTTGGCTCGCGGGTGGCTCTGGTGGAGTGGTATCCAGAGAATCTGAATGGCTGCATTTATCAGGTCCCAAGGGCTTCACCTTCTCTCCGCCCGGCAAGAGCGCGTCCGCCACTGTCCTGTCTTTTACCCCGCCTCTCTTCCTCAGCAGTCCTTTCAACTTCTCCTGCTCATCCTCAAAGTCAATGTAGTTCTTCGGAGCTTCGACCTGCTCTGTCGATACGGACGAGACGACAGTAGATTTCGAAACATGGAACGGGGAGTATAATATCGGTGACTTCATGGACTTGAGTGAGGCCGGGGATCGTGAGCGGGAAGACTGAGCACTCGTACGAAGATGCCGAGGCGTCGCTGGCGCGGAGTTCGGTGCAGAAGACGGCGAGTTCAGTGGCTCATGCTGTGTCGTGTTTGAGTTTATCGAGAGAGGCCTCGGAAGTGGTTTACGGAAATGGAAAAGATACAAGCTGCCATCTTCGCAGCCGACGGCCGCGCCGCCAAGAGCTTCGGAGTTGGCGCTATCCCCTCCAACCTCTGCATGTCGTAATGGAAGGATGCAGGATGGTGCAGCCTGAGAGAAACTGGCCTGAACTGAGCAGAGTGAATCGTCCGCGAAGGTCAGTGAGAGTTGCACGGTCATGACAGGATGCTCATGGGACCAAGTCGAGAGCTGCGATTGCTGAAGGTGACTGTATGCGGAGAGGTTCGCGCCCTGTGTGATCCCAGGGGCGAGCGGGGCGATGGCTCGCGGTTCGCGAAGAATTCGTGGGAACGCATCAATAGGCGCTATGCCGTAAGATTCCCACGCCGCGTACGCTCGCCGAATCGGAAATGTCATTTTTCAGAATTGCGTGGCAACTTCAGGGTTGGGACCACTTCATCTTTCTCTCATGTGAGCCATCCACTCTGTACGTCAATATATGCTGGTAACACGATCTTTCGACTGCAGCTAGTGCTCCCGTGGCTTCTGCTTTAGACCGGTGGCCCGAGCCAGACTAAGGGTCGCGATGTTCCGTATATCTAACCGCTGGCGAAGAGAAACGACTTGCGACAGGAGCCGCCCGAACAGGCTTCTGCGAGGCTCTACCTTGGCCGCGGTCGTCTGCCGAGCGTTCATAGGGCGACCCCGGATTTCTCGTGCTTCCCGACGGTTGGTAGGAAATTCCTTCTTGTTGATCGACTGAAGCTTCAGTCAATATGGCGTTCGCTTGCGCCAAGATTAAGAATTGCTTCCCAGCGTCGGCTCGGCATTTCATGTGCGCTCTAAATCCGCACAAATACGCTTAATGTAGCCGTTGCTCGCTACAATGAGGCGCACCTCCCCGCTGTGCAATCCAAACCCTCCATGGCAGTGCTCATAAGGACGACAGAAGAAGTCCACGACACCCGTGTGGCCACTAGCACTGTGGTTGGCATGGTGCTTGGCGTTCGTAAGTCCCGCTCTGCCTTGGCACCGTCCGTTGACTTCATTACTAATATTCACTTAGTGAGCCTTTTTGTCCTCATCGTCACCTACCAATTCCTCCCGAGGCGGGCATCCTCGCGGCCACGCGCAGTCAGTGCACTCGCGCCGCCACCACCTAAGCCTCGTCCACTCGTTGTCCGCATCCGCACACGATGTTCCACGCTCCTTAACTCTATCTTCCGCAAGCGCCAGACACCCACCACCGAGCCCGCCCAGCCAGGCCATCGCACGATGCGCTCCTTCCACCTGACACCAGAACGTCGACGCGAGCGCGAGCACAACAGACTCAAGTTTGCCAAGTCACTGCGGATCAAGATCGACCTCCCACCCTTTCCACACGTATCGCTGAGCAACACGCCGGCGTCAACGCCGCGGCCACCGAAGCGCGCCTACAGCCGCATGCGGGACAGCGACGACGGATACGAGTGTCTCCTGAAGCCAGAGTCCACGCCTCACACGCCGCTCACGCCTCACACGCCTCACACGCCACGCTCGCCGCCGGACTACCCATCGCCGACGTCCCCGCCGCCGCGGTTCAGGCCCTTCGCATCGCCGATGCCGTTCCCGGGCTCCCCGCCACCACTCTACCCGCCACCGCCTGCCTACGTTCCGCGCACTAACTGCATCCCGCTATGAAGTGCTGCACCTAAGCAGCATGGTGATAAGTACTTCTTTTCTTTTCTTTTTCTTTGTGTCTTTTTATAGCAGCAGAGATCTGTTTGTATTGATAATAATAAATAATGGTCCCCGCGGATCAGGCGCTATAGCCAAGTGGTTAAGGCGATTGATTAGAAATCAATTCCCGTTTCGGGGCGCAGGTTCGAGTCCTGCTGGCGTCGCTTTGCCATCTAGCTCAGCTTTTGCTCCTTGCAAGCCCTCGAGGGCCAAAATTTATCCGCATTTCGATTTTTGAATCTTCGACCCGGCATAAATCAGACTTCTGGAGTGTAGATAATTTATGTCACCCAGAGGCTAACATCGGGAATCTGGACTATTGGATATCCATGATTTATAGCATTTTTATCTCAACTGAGCCAAAGCGTGAGTGTTGTGCGATTCCACCGCCAAGAACTCAGCGCACAGAATCTTCCTTTGCAGATAATATACAATGCACACTGATCTAAATGTACAGCGCATGTTATACAAAAAACACCCAGTATATAGTCCATGACTAAACGCTACATTCGCTCAAAGACCCGACGTCCTCCTCATCACTATCACCAACAACAAATGGCCCCTCGCCCGCCTCCGGCTCGTCATCACAAACGTTGTACTCTATGATCTGCTGGATCTCTGCCATAAGTGTGTCCGCGTCCTCGCGCTCCTTCTCTGTTTTTGACTGCTCCGAGTCGCCAAACGGGTCCGCGAATGGATCAGCGAGGCTCTGGCGCTTGTCGCGTCGCTCGTCGTTGTAGGGCGATGTGAAGCCGCCGCGCAGCGGTATTAGCCTATGATCTGCCCGTATGGATTGCAACCCGGGCGTTGCTTTTCCGCTTGGTTCGGAGTACTGCATGCGTGCTTCCATATTCGAGGTTCCAGTTCTCCCTCGGGCGGTCGTGTCATTGTAGCTGAGCAAATACAGCATCGTGACAGCAGCAGTTTTTTTCGGATCCGAAGTGTGTATGCAAGTCTCATGGCTGGACACTGCTCCTGGACGGTGGCTGTGTCAATCCGGTACAACGAGGCTGTTCGATGAAGAAGCATCCTTAGGTAAACAGCTCTTTACTTTCTGTATACTGCACTGCTCGTGTTCTCATAATGGTAGTCGCCTGGCTGAGCAGCTGCGGTGCGCAAGACTTCAACCGGACGCCTACAAATTCCTGTGCACGGCCGACGATCCCCCGTGCCTCCTGCACCGGCTGTGCAACTCGCAGAGCTCTTTGGTACTCCAAGATGAGTTCTTCTGTTGGATTACGGCAGCACAACAAGTCAGACACAGGAAAATGTATGCTATATACTCCAATCGGAGGCTGTTGCTTCCCCCCTGTTTTCTTTCCTCTACCACCCAAGTCTGAGTCACAGTTCGACACCAGCCTAAGGAAACATACATTTCGCTGCAATGTTCTGGTTACGTGACAATGGAAACTGTATTCCCGTTGAAGAGCTTGCAGAGTCCTCGCCCTCGGCCAGTCAGGTAATGGTTCGTACTGTCGTGGGTCTATTACTCGCGTTCGGTAAGTCCTTGCACTCAGCTGCCTCTCCCCTGCATGAGCTGATTGAAGCCTGATTCCAAACAGCATTCATTCTGTTCATTCTGCTAGCGTTTGGCTGTGTAGGGCGCCGACTCACTCGCGACGAGACCCGCATCCGCAGCCCGGGTAAGCACTCGCTCCAGCACGATGTTCTCCTGGCTCCAGAACTGAATGCGATATTTTCACAGTGACGCACCTTGGACGCTCCCATTCAGACTCGGCTAGGGCAGGAGCTGCTCGAACAAGGATGCAGGCCCTCTACCGCACGTCATCCTGGCCATTCCGCACGCCTCGGCATAACGACCCGCTACCCAGCTACTCCTCTCGCGAAGACGCCCCATGTGCACAAGCCGGCTCACGCGCGGCGCCGACGGGCAATGGGCAGCCACCGATGTACACCCCAAGGATCATCGCTTTGGCACCCGTACCTCCCGCATACCACCCCGGCGAGCCGTCGCTTGGGCCCCCGCTATGATGAACGGAGTTCTTCTGGAAAGGGCGCCGATACGAAGACGTCGGCGTGCATGACCCCTCGAAAGCTCGTATACCCTCGCTTCGCGTAATAGGAGTTGAGTTCCGGTGTGTGCGGGAGGCCAGGGGGGCCGGGGGACAAGGATGGAAGGAACAAAGGCTGGTTGCGCACCTGCAGCTTTTCGCCAACCGGAGGAAGGATGGGGGGGCACCAGATACAGGCGATGTCAGCGTGTAAAGTTGTCGTCCGTGGGCTGGAGGCACGTTCCTCACATGGCTGGACATTCTCTCTATTATATACACACTTAATTGGAGCACGAGGCTGAAACTTTCGTCGTCCGTGGCGGCTCTAACAAACTTCCGTCGGTGCAAGGCGCTGCAGAAAAGGGGGAACGCTGCAATGCAGTATCGGCGTCTGTGCTCGTGCGAACTAAGAAGCACTGCATGCCAAATCTTCTCCTCGTCCTCATTGCCACTAAACCTTCTACGCAGACCGTAGGCATGATATTAGCCCCTGCCCAGCCGAATAACAAGACGCGAGGCTCTGCTGACTCCTCGGGCATGTCCAAGGAATCCCGTGCCATCGAGAGGCTAGAATCGGGGAAAAGTGGGCCGGCGACGAGAGCCCTGAAGGTATCCGCTGGTCGTGAAATTTAAGCTGTACTGAGCTGCAGATCTGAGAGAGAGGGCCTTTGTTAACTATTCACCAGTCGACACCTGCGAGAATACCACATCCCCGACGCGACTGTCGTGACGGCCCTCTGCCAGTGATAAGCTAAATTCGACAATACTCTGGTACCACCCATCATCTCGACAGTGTGTCTACTCAGATCTTAATCAAGTGCAGCTATCACACTGCCAGCATTTGTAGGAAAAGACACAAGAGACGCATGGTGACATAGTGCTGGTAACACCATTACTGTCGATTGCGGAGTTTGGGCCGAAGATACCGATATCTGCATTGAACGTGAGTCAGCAAAGCTGAGCTGGAAGCTTAGCCGAATTGGTAATGAGATTCAGCGATTCTACTGAGGTATACAGTTGTGTAGGGAGAGTGGAGCCGTCGAGGAAAAGGTAAATCCCATTCGTTGGATCGCTGGGTGGTTTGAAGGCTGGGGTAGCCGATGTCGGGGCAACTTTGGCGATTGCTTGTTATCATACAGACGCAGCCTGGTCTTGAAGTTAACCTCCGAGTCGTCGGTAGTAGTTCAGAAGACATGCGTCATCGTTGACTTGCCGTTATTGGAGTGCGTGATGTGTGCCGCAGGCAAGCGAAGCAGTTTTCACTGCTGCCCCAAAAATATTGGACCGACGACGAGTCCATTCAAATCTGTATACCAGCAAGGCGGTGTAAAACAGAAAGTGTAGTTGTGCAAAGAACACAGTCCAAATCTGGCAACCGGAACCCTCAGAATCAAACAAGCGCAAACATATCGCGTGAGATCGCACATGCGAGCTTCATGTTACCTCATGAATAAAAGTTCGAGGAGACTATATATGTACCGGGAAAAATAGAAAGACTCTGTCGAGTCGATGAGCGATAACAAATGAAGCTCCTGCCGTTTAACCTTGCGTTGTTTTTGTATAGCTCCTTATACGGGTTAATTTATTACATAATTCGCGTTTGTTTTCCAGTTTTGGACTTATGTAACTTGATCTCATTTGTCTACTCACCTTGTACTCACCTCACCATTCCCTGACCTCTACCCATCACGGTCTCGGGATTGGGCTAAAAGCTCTCGCTTACTTCCCTCTCGAAAATACGAACGCTTAGTGGAATAGCAGCGGTAGGCACTCAGTCAAGATGCAGGGAATGCCCAATCGGTTAGGACTTGGTCTACGTCCCCCTCTGCCTTCATACGGCCAGGGTCCCTCAATGTCGGCTCTCGCAGCGCAACAGCAAATGAACCAACATAACCAATTTGTACCACCATCTCAAACGAAGCCTGTATCCCTCTTTATCGGGTCGATTTCTGGCGGTATCACGGACTCTTTCTTGAACCAATTGCTCAGCGTATGTCGCGATATTCTCTCTATCTAATCTTGGTTCAGTGCTCAGATGTCTCCTCTTAGGCATGTGGTCCTATCTCCTCGTTTAAGCGGCTGATCACGCCGGCCAACAAGCCACAAGGATTCGGCTTTGCGGAGTTCCAGGACCCAGACAGTGCGTTGCGAGCCATGACATTGCTCAATGGCGTAGAGTTGCCTGCGCTTGAGGATGGGTGTGTTAATAAGAAACTTTTGGTGCGTGGTTGTGCAGATGCATTCCTGCCTGCTGCTAACTTTAGTGCCATCTGCAGGCTAAGGCAGACGAGAAGACAAAAGTGTTCCTGGATGCATATTCCGGACAGAAGATGAAGACTGACGTGCGTTCTCTGCTCACTCCTGCCGTTATAACTTACCCTTCTCCCATTTGTTCTAGGCTGACGAAGAAATCATGCGACAAGCCAAAGCGAAGGTCGACCTGCTCGTCGCGGACATTCATAAGGTCTCCCAGGATGCTGCCGACCAGGGACTGATAGATAAGGAGAAATATGTCATCCCACCGCACCTGCATGACTTGCAGGAAGCTGATCTTCCAGAGACACAACGTGGACTCGTCATGACTGAGATCGCCCAGTTCCGTGAGCGTGCCGCAAAACGCGAGCGCGAGAAGCTGCGGGACGTCCAGGCTGCAGTGCCCACCATCCTCAACATGCCGAGTGGTCCGAAGCAGAGGGAGTGGGGCAAGCCTGGTCCTAGCCCGTCTCCGCAAGCGACAAAAAGCACTTCCTACGGCAAGCCACCAGGATTCGTCAAGGCCGGAGAAGACAGAGAGACACCTTCGAGTGGTGAAACAGAAGCCGCGGTATCTCGCAGTGTGAAGACAGATGAAGAGCTGGAAGCTGAGCGGAAAGAGGCCAGGAGACGTGACGAAGAGAATTCATTCAAAGACGTAAGTGCTTCTAGCAACGTCATATATGCGCGTTGTTCAGGCTTCTTCACCAGCGAGAACGTCGCTACGAGCCCAGGGAGAGAACTCGCATTCAAGCTTTGGAACGATCGATAGCGCGTGAGAGAGCGCTCAAGGAGGCGGAGGAGCGGGATCGTGTTGAGATGAGAGCACGCCTCGATGTTTGGGATGACGACGAGAGCGATGAGCTTTTCTATACCGATCGGTGAGTGCGCTCCGCTTTTCCGAATCATGAATGATCGGCTCAAACGCGCCTAGTGTCCGGTGGCGCACTCAGCGTGTAAGGCGCTTGACGGCAGAGGAAGCTGCAGACGCCGAGTCAAGACTCTACGAAGAGCGCGAAACTGAGAACCTGCGTCGCGAATCGGAGGCGTTCTTGGCACGGCAGATGGACGAGATGCAGGCATTGCAGGAAGAGCAACGCAAGGCGGGCATGCTCCTCGAGGACGGCGCCCCCGTGAAGCTTAACGTCTCGCTGGCACCCATTGTGTCCAAGGGCGAAGGTGCGCCGGCTGAGAACAAAGCTGCTGTCGCGTTCGGACAAGAGGAAGAGGAAGAGGAGGGCATCCGCAAGAGGAAAGCTCCTCCTCCCCAGCTTGACCTCGCCGAATCTGGAGAGAAGGCTAAAGAGAGATTGGAGAAGATCAAGACGACTGTGCCGACAGACAGAGAGACGTTGTTCAAGTCCAAAGTTCGGTGGGATGGTGTCACTGACGTAAGTCAATCCGTTCATCCGACTTTGGCCCAGCGCTAATGGTCTCGCAGACCATGATTGATCGTAAACTTGAGCCGCTGGTTAAGCGGTTGATGATCAAATACCTGGGCGAGCTCGAGGACGACGACCTTGTCATGTTCGTCTTGGAACACTTGAAAGACCACAAGGGTCCACAAAAGCTCATCGAAGGCCTCGAGCCGGTGCGTATCACGTTCTTCCCAGCAGAGTCATGATCTGACAGAAACGTGGCAGGTTCTCGAGGAGGAAGCTATCGAGCTGGTCATCAGCGTATGGCGACAGATCATCTATGAGAGCATGGCGTACGGCGAAGGCCTGCACACGGAGAGGATTATGGTTGACTGAGGATATCTTGCTGGTTCGGTACGTTTGCGTAGTGTCGATCTTTACGCGTACTAAGGTATACAAGTCGTCATTTGCATTCGCTGGGGGTTGTGGGAGAACGTTGCAGCTCGTAGCGGGCTTTGTGGGTTGCATACCGTGAGTAAGTTTTTCGTCCCGGTTTCACTGAGCAGGTTGTCTGGGCCGACGATATCATGCACGCGGGTGACGAGGCAACCGTGATGGAGTAACAAAGGACGCTGGTATTCACGATGAGTGCTCGAGTCTTTCTCCACCGCTGTTCAATTGATATGAAAACTGGTTCCAAACTATGAGTGGCTTTAGGGTATCCCGCCACAGCATATTGTCCAGCCTTTCCACGTGGCTTCCATTATTATCCTACTTATGTGCTACCTCCACGCAATCAACACCGAATATATGCGATTCGACACTTTTAAAAAGGATGAATAAACGCACCGTACAGCAACAGGTTCAGCAGATCCTGGCACACGAAGAGCTGTTAGCTCGACGTGGTTCAGTTCGACAGACTGAACCCGTTCGGATAGAAGTTAATAACGAATTCCATCACGTTTCTCCGCCGTTGACGCTAGTCTGTACCATGCACCTGATCTTATAATCAATCTCGAAGTAAAGGACGATTCGGTCAGCGTGCCGAATCTTTTGCTAACTACGAGGCCGTCAGACAGGTAACCTCCGTGAATGGGATGGGCAGTACTTGCCGAAGAGCATGGTGGAAGGCATGCTGAACCGATGGCGCATCAGATACGCTCGGCATCGGTCGCCTGTTGGGCTATGCATCCATGTTCGTATCATAAATAGTGTATAGTTCTATCAGCTCCAGAACATGGCTGCGGGTTCCTCATCGATGACGATAGACGCTCTCTACCCTGGTTCCAGTATCAATTATGTTGCACTGCGGACAGCCTGAACTCGTGGCTCACGCAGTAAGCATGTTTTCAGTAGTTCTCTGAGCCGCAGCCTCACGAGCTGTATGGTTACCTTGTGGTGCGCATTCATGACTGCGCAGCGGCCCCGAGTGAGAAATGGGCCAGAGTACCATCTCGGCCTGCGCACAGCTTAAACCCACGTTCTTTCCATGTGCGCAGGATTTTCTGATATCGGGTGCGAACATGTGGTCTGCCGCAGACCGATGAACACGAAAACCGACATAATGAATTGATAGTTTCAGATCGGGTCCGCTAGCGACAGTTGAGTAAGGAAGTTCATGCCATCCGCTCTGTAGGTGTCCTCCGTGATGGCTAGCGGCACCAGTCCGTCCAGGAATGTAAGAAGTTGAGGGCTCGACGTGCTATACGTAGGCCAGCTCAGTAGACCTGGACCGTTCGGATTGAGATCGTTGATGAAGTTGACCAGGTAGTCTGTCATGTCCCCTCCGCCATAAACATTGAGAAGGTCAGTACCGTGCGCCTAATCCGACGGTCAATTTCGAAGAATGCTTGATCGTTTCGGGAATGCTTACAGTGCCCACACCGGGCGTAGCCTTAAGTCGCTTGTTCACTATAAACTTGTTAGCAGCTGGAATATCGGCTTGCACGGTAGGATGTACACTTACGGAAGACGAAAGTGTTTTGTTTGCTGGACTGAGTGGTCAAGAAGAACCGTCTAGGTGCTTGAAAGACGAGATCCCCGAGTATGGCAGCAATGCGTTTGTATTGCGGAGACAATACGTTGAGATCACCCGTATCGAACGGAGAACCCTGAGCAGGGTCTTGCGGGTAAAGCTGCAGCATGGTATCGAGCTCAGAAGATGTAGCATTTGGGACGTAGAACGTCTTGAAGTACGTTTGCACTTCGGCATCCGTGCTGAAATATTTGATCTCAGTAAGGTGCCAGACGGCTGATACAACAATAAACCTCTTACGAGATATTTAGAGTCGACAATGCAAAGACAGTTCCTTCGTCATCGCAGTCCTGGTGGTCATGTAACCAGTGAGTCAAGGGTTGAACCACAAAGATCTGGATGCTTACCCCTGTCACGAAGGGTACGCTTGCCACACTTCCTTGGGTAACAAGGGTCTGAGGGTCATCTGGCAGAAAGACGCCGTCAGCCCTAGGTGTCCAGGCGAGGGCTAGCGACTTCGTAAGGAGCAGCAGTGTCAGCGCAGGACATCACTTTTCCGAATGGACAGATTTACCTGCGGGGAAGAGATCGAAGGCGATTGGTTCACAGCATTCATCAGGGTCTCAAAAGGCACCCCGCGTAAACACTGCAGGGTATCCGCAGCGCCCGAGCAGCCCGTCTCGGAGACCAGCGCATCATAGTACTTTTGCCCGTGCGTGATGTCTCCTACAGGGATAGGCGAGCCTGACTCCATGAAGGCCCCGCGGAACAACCCCTCTGCGTTCCCGCCGTTGGTCAGCATCTGCAGAGCAACAGAAATTGCGCCCGCAGATTCGCCCCACCTATGGTGGTCTCGGTTCAGCGCCAAGTTGTATACGGTATATATCGTGCACACGTACATTGTCACTCTCGACGGGTCGCCATTGAATGCAGATATATATCTCTGCACCCACTGCAGGGCTTGACGTTCTGTTAGGACGAGAGCAGCATAATGGGTCGAGAGAATGAAATTGTGTCAGCACTGCTGACTAAATCACAAAACGCTGACTCACGATCTTGCAGACCAAGATTACCCACGCCTGCATCTTTGACTTCTTGACTAGCGAGGAATCCGAAGGCTGGTCATGACGGCGCTCGTCATTGGACCGCATGCACAAACACCGGTGCTCACCCGTCACTCTGCATCCGTCAGCTTCCAGCAAATCTTGCGTGTGCAGATACACTCACCGATAGTTCATGCTCACGTATACTACCGGCATGTTCATTTCGATGGAACGGGAGACAATGACGCCGCCGTCGAACCTGGACAGGTCGTTAGCATGCTGACGTTTTCCGGCAGGGAAAGGGGGGAGGGAGGTCTCGTACGTGCTTGTGCCACCGCCTTCAAACCCGCCTGTCGTGGATAACAAACTCAGGTGAGGATTGATGTAACCTAAAAACGAGAGCAAATACTCACCGCCGAATATCCACTGTCATGACACAAATGTTAGCCTCGAATGCATCGTCAAGGAAGATGTCGACTGACAACAACCACTGGCAATTTAGTGCCAGCTGGGACGTTAGCGGGGGTCCAGACATTTAATGTCAAACCTGTGTAGAGCGCATCAGTGATGCCGTCACCCGCGCCGTTAAGCGAACTGACAATCTTCGCCATTAGGCGTCATGATGTCTGCCACGGCGTCGAGGATGAAGTTGGTGACGTTTGCGACGATGCCGCTAGGCAGCGACACCTGAGAGACTTGCTGAGGACAAGCGAGCCCAAAAGATGTTGCATCCTGAGTGCCATTGTACGGACCATTAGGTACAGGAAGACGGAAGCGGAGGTCTCCGGTCCTGCTCATTAGTGAGACTAGGCCTTTCACGGCGTACTGTGCTTACGGGGGCTGGGCGAAAGGTATCCCGAGAAACTTATTTGCAACGCCATCAGGGACACCGATGAAGGTGCCCTGATCGAGTGTGACGGAAGGAGGACTCCTGGGTGAGGGAACAGCTGAGGCCAGGGCAGCATGGCCCACTAAAAGCGCGAGGGCAATGCGAAGTGAGAGAAGCATTGTAGCGAACTTGAAGGCAGAGGGGTGCTCCACTCCATGCAACTCGGCACATTCTTATGTCTTTATATGCGTCCTTGCCATATGATCCATGGCGAATTGCAAGCGGATACGGCCCCAGGAGTCAGGACTGCCCGGCGGTGGGAAAACGCCCTCTGAGTGTAGTGCACATCAATATTGGCACAAGGTCACAAGGCTACTCATTTCTCGATGATGGCACCCGACATATTGAGAATTCACGGCTGGCGGGCTGGCCGTGCCTTTATTAGCGGGGTCTGATGACGAAAGGCGGGTATCTGGAGGCTTACGACAATGCTGAGCACAAGGTGCTGCCGCGTGGTCTATAGATGTGCAGTGGCTTATGAAATTCGTTGCACATTCTCGGCTATTTGTGCTCAGTATGAATGAGAGAATGACGGCAGATCTGTTGGGAGTCATTGTTCGCGGTGCGTTTCTGACCTATCGGCTACTCCGCCATGAGAAAGCGGCGACAATCGGATGCGCAAACCATGAGGTACATGTCGTTCTCCCCTAGTTAGTGAGCATACAATAGGAATAAATAGAAGAACAATATGGAGACCTGATGCATACGTATATCGCCTCGTATCACTATAGACTAGATTCCTGACAGGCGTCATAGACGAGGCCGCAGTGTAGCATTATGGGAGGCATACTTTGTTTATACCGGCTGCTTTGAGGTACAGGCGGTAGCTATCAAAGGCGTCGGTCTCATAGGTATGTTGCTGCGAATGTTGTGGGCCGCCCCCATGATCGTGGCAGAGTAGTGAAAAGGCGACGTGGCGGAGCAGATGGGAAGTATATTAAACTAATGGCGCATCAGGCGCATCAGATGCGCACGGCATCACCCGCCTGTCTCACTTGGCGGTGATAACCGCGACAAACACCGTATGCAGGCAGCTCTATCAGTTTCGGAACGCGGCTGCGGGCTCCTTCGTCAATGATGCTGCACAGTCTGTGTGTGTTATTTCCGCTATAACATACTGCGGTCAGCAAACGCTCGTGGCTCACGATGGCGCATGGCGCACCCCTGGAGCTGAGCCGCAGCGCAAGCCGTATGGTCACCTTGTGGCGCACGAACTCGTGAGTTGCTCCGGATGCGCTGCGTTTCCGAAGGAGAGGTGAGTCAGAGTGTACCCGAGACAATATTCTGAGTTAAAGCATCCGTTGTTCTCTCAATATGCGCAGAATCTCCGTCGACCGGGTCGTTATTGACCGGTGGGTGGAATTAACGCCCGACTATGACTAGGTAGAGTGCTAAGGACCAATATCTAATTGTCCTTCGAGTCAACCGCGTACGTGAAGGGGAGACCCAGCAGAGAATATGGAGTGGAAATAGGCTTCTAGGCGAACGCCAAGGCACGCCTTCAGTGTCTGCGAACCCTGCACTGGCGTACCGCAAATTGCGTCTTCGAGCGGCCGTACGTATTGTGGGTGCTATCGAGTCACATTCGGCCCCGCCCTAAGCATGCGACGAGGGTGACTGAAACGACTTGAATATACGTCTGAGAAGGCCTTGCGGGAGTTCGATGGATCGGCCCTTGTCTAGAACCTCGAGTGAAGGTTCGTTCGTGGCAACAAGCAGATAATTGACACCGATCATCTATCGGACGGTGGGCCCGCAGCACAATCTCAGTCATTCCAACTCATGTCCAGAGGACGATGCAACATCTCGTCTCACCAACGACTGCGGGTCCGTAGCAGTCAAGCTAGTATTCGTGCTCATGGGCGCGAACTTTGCTGTTAGTCGCTGGCTTACGACGCTCCTATATATCGGGGGGAAATAAGATGCATCATCTCAGAACCGAGCCACTCATCCTCTCACTAAATACTCCATTCTACAATCATGGGAAACAAGAGTTCGACCTCCCCGTCCGACTCGCACTCCGTTGCACCTACGAATGCCAGCTCGACCACATTGACGGGTAACACGAACGAATCTACGACTACACTGGTTCCGGAGGTGAGCCACACTGTTTTCTTGAGTCCAGCATAGCCGTAGACCGCGCCTGACGCAGACTCAGCCGCAGACTTCAGACAAGACCGCTACTACCGCCGCGACGCAAGGCTCGTCCACCGCATCCACGCCTGCTAGAGCGGCTGGCCAGGCGAGAGATTGGGAGGCCGCCTACGGCGCACTCGCCGGGAGTATTGGCTTTGGGGGCACTACTCCGACGCTGCCGTCGAAGTTCAAGAAGGTCAAGAAAGATAGCAGCCAGGGCAGTGGACAGGGCAGTGGACAGGGCAGCGGGCAGGGCAGCGGTGGATCGAGCCCGTCGAGCGCGCCTCGTTCTTGAGCACCATGACGCCGGTGAGAGGCTCCATCTACGTGGCAATTTGGCATCCTCTGAACCACGGCCTCTATCAGCCTCCTCGCGCTGTCCAGAATATACATCCCAGAACATAGTCCAGGGTGGATCGGTCACTATTTTCATGAAGACTCAGAGCTCTCTCTGCTTGCCTGCTTCAAACTCTTTTTTCTGGCTCTGATGAAGTCGCATAGAACTAGCTACTATCGCAGATGTTTAGATTGCGTCGCTCACCGCAAGACAACCTCGCAGACATATCCAGGGTGTTTTAATAAGCGGTAGATCATCTACCCCCTCCCCCTCCCCAAGATATTGCGCATAAGTACCAGGTCGTCTCACTCCTGTTTAACTCGATGCACACGTAACCACACCTATTATTCTCCCTGAAAGAAAGATGCCAGTGTCAAGATAAGCATTCGCTCGAGCTTCAATGTTCCAACCTTCAACTTGGCTTCAGGCTCAAGCGCTCAACCTCACATGATCTCCGAGTCGGAACCGCTGACTGCGTATCGGCATTCTCCACCCCGACAGACACTCCGGTACGACAGCCGAACCGTGCCACACTAGATAAGCTCAGAATCTCACCAGCGAATATCATGAAGTACCATTGCCTCAAACCCTCGCTGAGTCATATGTTGCAGCACGCTGATGCATTCGCTATGCCGCAAGCTCCTGTGAGGCCCAAATAGCCCTCCAAGACCTTCTCGTTCATGCACACTCTCACCAGGTAGCTCAAACTCTACTTCACATTCCCGGTATACGAATATCCAATATAAGTGCAAAAGACCGGGACCATTCTATCATAAGCGAGAATCCCCACCGAGCTTGACAAGTACCTCGTCCGCCCGGCCATAAATTTCCTGCAAATTCTTGTATCCTGACAGACCGAGCGAGATATCCAGATCTGCAAGTATCGCCTTCAGGACCTGTTCAACACCCGCCTGTCCAGCCACAGCCAGGCCATACATGTACGGCCGAGCGACTAACGAACAACAATTAACATCTCGTCTTCGGTCATGAAATAGCGACGACGTACGCAGCACGCCTTGCGCACCGAGTGCGATGGCCTTGATGATGTCGCAGCCTGTGCGGATGCCCGAGTCAAAGAGCACGGTGAGCTTTCCGCTCTTTTGAGCGTCTTTGATCTTCGGCGACGAGCAGATCTTCTCGAGCGCCCAGATCGCAGGTACCGATGCTTCAACCTGTCTGCCACCTAAACCATGGGTCAGCGTCGAGTGTAACAGAGTTAGCACATGATCGCCGTACCGTGGTTAGACACGACGATCCCGTCGACGCCATAGTTCATAGCGAGCTCGGCATCCTACGGCGACCGTAATCAATACAGTTCATCTAAGACAATGGCGTCTGCAAACCTTAACGGACAAGATCCCCTTCAATATTAACGGCCCCTCCCAGTTATCACGGACAAGCTTGATGTCCTCCCATGTTTTGAACGTGCCAGAGTGAATGTCGCGCATCCACTGTAAGCCTGCGTTGACGGCTCGTTCCGTCTTTTCGTCTCCCTCCTTGAGGCGCCTCTCAACCTTCTTCGGGTCGTACGGGAACTCGGGCACGTCCAGGATCGGCTCCTCGCCGATAGATTTCATGAAAACCGGGTCCGAGAGCCCAACCTGAACGCCGACGCCCTGCGAAAACGGCAAATAGGACGTTTGCAGGTCGTGCGGACGCCAACCGAGGAGCATCGTGTCCAAGGTGATGACGAGAGCCGTATAGCCGTTCTTCTTAGCGCGCTGTAAAATTGAAAGCGTGTAGGCCTGGTTAACCGGCCTAAATACCATTCCATGAGCAACAGCACAAATGCAAACTTTGATTTAGTGCTCTCACCAATACAGTTGGAACCAGCGATGTCCGTCGCCACTAGCCTCAGCGACAGCTTCGATTGTGCGCGTGGATGCCGTGCTCATGATGTACGTCACCCCTACGTTCCTTGCCGCTTTCGCCGTCGCAATCTCGCCGTCTGGGTGCACAATCCCCTGGACGCCTACGGGCGCAACGAGCAAGGGCGAGCTGTACTTGACGCCAAATAAGGTGGTCTGTACATCAACCGGCAGCGTGTCAGCCAGTTTCTGTCCCGGGCGGCATATCGCGGCCTATAATAGGCGGGAACGGACCTCGAGGCTCCGCTCGGTCGCGTCCCGAAGCATGCGCGAGATGATTCTCCACCTTTCCATCTCGCTCCGATTCCAGTGCTCAGCTGAACAATTGCCCGCGCTGCCAAATACGTACAAGAACGCGTCTACATCAGTGTCAGGCATAATTGTCTCAGACACGATAGGGGCTGTGCGACATGCCTTTGCGATCCTTGAGCTTCTCGCGGGCCTCGCGCTCGAGGTCGTCAAAGTAGAAGCTCGGGATCGCGAGAGACTTCCGCTCGTGGTACGTCTCGAGCATATATGACGACCATGCTTTCTTCGTATCCATGGGGGTAGCTGTTGAGAGAGGTGCGGACAGTAGGACTGGATCGTGCAGGTGAGGGTCCGGGAAGGAAGGGAAAAAAACAGCAAGCGTGTCCGGTAAACAAGCCGAACCTTCTTTTATACGAACCAACGTCGCAAATGCTGCCCCATGAGCTTGCACGTATCATCTGCCTCCGGCCGATAAGACACGACCGATCTTGAGGCCTTGAGGCTTTCTGGGACCCCCTGACAATTCAAAACGTCGCAGGGTTAGCGCGACCCATTACGCAACAGGTCCCGGGAGCCGGCACAAACGGCTGGCGACAGACACGGATATCACGCGGAAGGGGCAAGAGCAGATTACACGGTGGTATAACCACTTCCCCCAGGGAATCGAGCATCGCAGGAAGCGCAAGAAGCGCAAGAAGAAGTAGAACGTAAGCAGATTTGCCTTGTGCCAGAGCTAAGGTTAGAGCTGCTGTACGAGAAAACATTCCGAAGCTATCATGTTTTCGTAGTCCGGCACATCGAAATCGGTTTTCGACGGTATATATTCTATTCAGCGTCCGGCAACCTTCATGGTGATGTCAGGCCATTGAGTCTGGCAGACACTTTCGCACGAGCGGTACCAATTATTGGAAGAGACGGTCGTCGCGCGCGAGGTCAGCGCATAACGACTGTTCTCATCGAGTTTGTCCGAGCAATAAATACCGCTAATATTAAATTTTTGCGTACCGACGAGACGATGCAGAGAAAGTAGGTGCATACGAGTTCTGGCGGCATGGCGACGACATGGCGGCTCGAGGTAAGGGATTAAAATTAGGCGCCCTAAACGTGTTTCCTGCGCACGGTGACAACCAAGGTAAGCACGAGACGAATGCGACCTTCCTTTCTGTTGGTCTCTCGTTGTAGGCATTTTGAAGATTCACAGATGAATACAGGGTCTTAGGACATATAAACAGGTTGAAATGCCTGCGAGCTTCACCGCTGCTCAGACAATTCCTGGATCGCCGGAGGCCCGAGCACTCCCTCAAGAGTGTCTAACCTGCCGCATAATCGGGACGGGCGCATTAGCTGCGACAGGACTGTACGCTTTGAATCAATCTCGCGCACACGCGCCAGGGGTCCGTTGCAGGCAAACGGATTATGGCGGGCGTCGGTATCTGTATGTACTGGCCTATATCATGCAGCCGTACACAGCTGAATCCCGTTTTGCCACTGCATCAGGTTTCCTCGTAGGCAGTGCATTCCGATGGACAAAATAAAAGGACTCACAGGCCGGCCCGCTTGGACTGTTGTCTACTGTTGTTTGAGAGAGCTGCGCTTGCTAAACGAGCATGCCCCAAGCCATGATAGAGTACGACTCGGAAGAACCGTATATCACCGCATCCTGAGCTAACTATAATGAGACCCTGGTCTATTACAGACTCCAAACCAGTGCATCCGTGGATGTTGAAGGCCAGCGTTTCAGTCCTGCGGACTGATGAGTCATCGCTATTAGCTAAACTCCAAGGACGCTGTAACATCCACGGACGACTGGCGGAAAACATTGGTAAATATACCGGCATCCCTCGGCAATGGATACCTGAGGCCTGGAGTTCGGCAGATACCGCGCAAGACTGACGAGCAAATTCCGGCTATTTCTTTTTTTGCAGGCGACTACCTCCCGCATTTGGTATGCGGCGCATCAAGCGTGCTCGTCACCACCGTTTACAACGCCGCCCGAGTAGATACTGCCTGTGACCGTGCTCCTTTTATGTCTTTTTATCAAGACTCAGAGAATGTTCTTATAGATCATAATATTACCTCTTTCTCCAACTTGATACTCAAAATCCTCAACCAAGATGCCTCAGAAACCACAAAGGCTGGTCAGTTCCGAGCGGACATAATCACCAGAAGCCCCGACATTGTAGCAAACCTCTATCAGCATTCGAAAGCGCTGACCTGGGTGGTGAAGATGCAATATGACAAGTATGAGACAGTGTTGCTCACCCTTATGAGGGCTCATGCCGGCCGG